TGAGTCACCATCCCTGGAAGTATTTAAAAGACGTGTAGATGTGGTGCTTAGGGACATGGGTTAGTGGTAGACTTGGCAGTGCTAGGTTAATGGTTGGACTCGATCTTAAAGGTCCTTTCCAACCTAAATGATTCTATGATTCTTTCTGGATCACCTTTTGGCCTGTGTGTCCTGTGCCTTGGGGTCCCTTCCTTGAGGCAGTTCTTTGTCTTGATTTTTGTGGAACAAGAGTAATAGCTAGTCAAATAGTAAATATTGGACCAGCGACAAACGGCTTAAGTTGGTTCTCTCCTTAATGAATGTACTGTTAGGTGATTTCCAATAGTTTTGATGAAGTAAGTCCTTGATTGTGTGTTCTGTTGTCTTTTTCTGTAGCTTTTTTACAGGAAGTGGTATGGGTTTTGAAGCATTTATTACATACTCTGGGGCATTGGTGGTTGCTGTTTGCACGAAGAGGGAATATGCCACAGTGATGCTGCCTGACCATTGTTTTTTTGACTCTCTCTGGGTAAGATTTGATACTGAAAACCACTTTGTTTAGGATGGTACTGTTAGCTCAGAGCCAAAGTTCTTTTTTTTTTGTTGTTTTACAAATGGTCTATTTTATCATATTTAAATAACTCATTGCATAAGAACAGATCTAATCTCAAATAGTGCAAGCAGTTTCCGTGTAGATTAGTGGTTGACTGAGCTAAATTATGCCTATGTTATTAGTCATTTGTTATTGATAAGCTGGTTACAGTTTTGTGCTTAGATTTTTTTAACATGCAGATTTTTTTATATTAAATTATAACAAGCATAGGTGGCTGTAGTACTATGTGAATGAATAAAATGTGCTACTGTGTTTCTACCTTGCCCTTTTCTATTCCCATACTTAAGGACTGATGTGCATTATCATGAAAGAACTGTATCTCCTTCCCTTCAAAAACCTGTTTACATGTAAACTAATTTAAAATGGAAGCAGCTGATAGGTGGTCTTACCTTCTTGTTGATGCTTTGGGTTTATTTTCTTAAGTGGTTTTCTCACCAGATTAGTAGAGATGAAGTTAAATACTTCTGTACAGTTATTTCACTGCTTTTTAATAATGACTTAATTATTTTATATTGCTTAACCAGCACAACATAACTATTGTTCACATGCCTGGAAAGAGGCCCTTTGGTCAGAGTCTTGTGTACATCTACGTCAATGGACAGCAGAAGGTCTCTGCCCCACTTCGATTCCCTGCCATGAATGAAGTAAGTTAACCTTCTGAGTCATACCCCTGTCCTGATGAGCTCTCATAGAACAATGAGAACATGGTTGGCTTTTTTGATTTGGAAATTATGTAAGTGTTTAAGATAGCTTAGCCTATTGCTAATAAGCTTCTGTTCAACTTTGGACAGTGTCCAGAGTGTCAATTTGGAGTATAACTAACAATTAATTAGTGCTTGTTTAGTCATCTCAGTTTAAATACAAAACAAAAAACAGATTACCTTGATTAGATTGTGGGGTTTTCCCTAACATAATTACTTGAACATACTGACATAATTTATGATGAGTAAATCAATAAATCACACCCCTGCCAGTAGAATTGGTGCGACAGTACTCAATGAGGAATACTCCCTGTATCAGTCCAGAGAAAGAGAAGGGCAACGAGGCTGGTGAAGAACAAGTCTTATGAGGAGCGGCTGAGGGAACTGGGGTTGTTTAGCCTGGAGAAAAGGAGGCTGAGGGGAGACCTCATTGCTCTCTACATCTACCTGAAAGGAGGTTGTAGCGAGGTGGGTGTCGGTCTCTTCTCCCAAGTAACTAGTGATAGGACGAGAGGAAATGGCCTCAAGTTGCACCAGGGGAGGTTTAGATTGGATATTAGGAGAAATGTCTTTACTGAAAGAGTGGTTAAACATTGGAACAGGCTGCCCAGGGAAGTGGTTGAGTCACCATCCCTCGAGGTATTTAAAAGATGAGTAGATGATGACGGTTGGACTCGATGATTTTAGAGGTCTTTTCCAACCTTAATGATTCTATGATTCTATGAATATTCAGCAGTAACTTTTTTTACTTGTATTTTCTGTATGTTCCCTTAATATGCTGATCTTATACCTACTTTGTTAGCTGGATAAGCAGTTTATGTGCATTTATTCTAACCATTTCGAATGTGTGCACATTTAGCCTGAAAAAACACACTAGCCATCAAAATGAGTATATATAGTTTTCTTTGTAAGCATTGTCCATTCTTTTTATGGAACAAATCCAATTTAAACTGGGCTACAACACTGAACATTCTTCCCTCTTTTGTAAGTCCTAATTTGATATTTGTTAAATATGTTGAGCAAACACTTAAATTGGACATAGTCACAGTAAAATCAATATAACACTTAAAAAATAAGAGTAAATGTAATTTCCATTGTGAGATAAAACTGAATAAGCACTATAAGCATCAAGGTAGCTAAAAGTAGGGCAGGTAAGCTTCCCATGAGAGCATCTATTTGAGTGGAATAGCTGATATGAGAAGTGTACAGTAGCAGATATGCTGGGCTAGTATTTTGGAATACAGTCCAGAAGAGGAACGTTTACCAGGGTATCTGGAGCACCGTCCTTCCTGGCTTTGCTCCTGCCAGAGGTCACGCAACAGTTGAGGTGACCAAATTGCTCTTAATTGGAGAAGGGGCACTCTCTGCTGTTGTGGAAAGTATATGCTCTTTTTTTTGGCCTACTGTTCTGGATTGCTTCTTTTCCAGGGCACGCCAGAACTTGCTGCTCTTGGTTTAATTTATTTAGTTCAGGTTTGCCAGAGATAGTGTTCAGATTTACTTTGTAAACTGTGGAAAAAAAGGAGGCTAGATTTACAGTATGTGTTTTGTTTTCTTCCTTCCATGCGTGACTCTCCAGTCTTTTACTTCTTGCTGCATTGGTTCAGCTGGTCAAAGAACAACAACTCCTCCTCCATCTCAGATACCAGATCCGCCTTTTTCCTCCCCTATTATGCCCCATCGGACATCACTTGGGGGCATTCTCTCTACAGGAAGTTGGGGTGGAATGCTTGGAAAACCAGAGCTCATCACCAAGATGATCTCAGCAGGGACTCAGGACAGTGAATGGGGATGTCCAACATCTTTGGAGGGCCAACTTGGATCAGTTATCATCTTTCATGAAGCACTGCAACCTCCTCAGGTGAAAGCATTATATTTAGCAGGTAAGTGGTGATTGTACTAATTTTAGTGGAATAAAAGGGATGAGTTATGGACAAGACTCCACTGAGCTTTGCTCTATGCAGACACATAATGAAGAAGTTACAATCCAGAAGAATTGCAGAGCTGACCTAAGTGAGAGGGCCTTATAACAAATAAGGTTAAAATGGAATGATAAGTATTTTGTGAAGTTTTATTTAAAATGTTATGTTTGCATAAGATCATCTATTTATCGTATGTACAGACCTGTCAAAATCAAAATGTTAGATAGTATTTTCACTTGTAAGCTCTTAAATTTTTGCTACTGTTTGCCTACATATGAGTTTACAGTTGAGACTCTTTAAAGTATTGCATTTGTTTTGGTAGGCCACTTAAAGGTGATTTATGCTTGATGATTCTTCTACAAGAATCAATTAATAATTAAGGGGTCATTTAAAAAAAAATACTCCGATAAGCGATGTCTTACAGTTCAAGGTGTTAAGGTATTAAGTTCCATAATGACTTGAGGTTGTTAGAGATTAGCATAAAAACACTTCCATCTTTTAAAGGAAATATTTTGTATTACTAAACAAAACTTTCTTGAAGATAACTAATTTTCTGGACGTTTGAGCTTGATGACGGGAAGATTGGTGACAAATATGAGATAGGTATTTGTAAAGACAGAAACATTAGAGCTGCTTGAATGTATAAAAAACCCCTTCTTTGTATAGTTTAGCTTTTTATCAAGAAGTATTTCTTTTTAAGCAGACCCTATGGAATGAATGATTTGAGTCATAGAGATTACTTCAAAGCATGTCTCAAATAGGTATGGTTCAGAGTGTCCTATTTGTTGTTGCAACAAAGTATAGTAGAAAAAAATCTGTGAAGGTCAACATTAATATTCAGTGGACAGTTAAATATATATGTTATAAATATATAATTTTATATATTTTATATATATTTATTTTTAATAGGTCCAAACTGTTTAACTCCATGGAAGTCTCAAGATGCTGAAGTAGCAGATCTCCCCAGTAAGGTACTGCTTCATTATACACCAAAGGTATGAAACAATACATAATTTCTCTTTGATTACACAGTATGCAGTAATTTCAGAATATGTTTTAGATGGTCTTTTTTTTTGCTTTGCTATTGCTGTTTCATAGAACAGGTGAGCATGCTATCTTTACACTGTGGTTATTATGGGAAGATAAGGAGCAGTGAGAGCTTTCTTAAACTGTAGTCTTGTGCAGAGATAATAGGTTTTGTTCTTGTTTGGCAAAAGGGCAGAATTATCTTGTACAGTTGTGAATGTTAAATCTAAGATAACATACATGATGTTCCAGGGGTTCCAAATTGTTTAAATACTTCAGTATCAACACAACGGCACTAACTTTCTGAAACATACTGTGCATCATTCAGAAATCTTACGTGTTCAAGGATCTGTAACTTGTTTCCTAAATGATATTGTAGCCTCTTCATTTGTTTAACAGGCCTGCAGAAACCCAATTTGTCTTGACCTGTCTACAAATCTTTTACATGGAAGACTAACTGGAAACAAAGTAGTGAACTGGGACATCAAGGTAAATGCATGCTGAAGAAGCAGAACCTGATGTAAATATGACAGTGGTTGTATACGTTCACCTAACTTTTGGAATGCCGGTAGTATTATCATAATGCAAATGACATTTAGCAGGTACAGCATGTTTTTGTAATGACAATTAATGGGTTAATGCTGTAGCTGGAGTAGTATTACATTACATTTATTGAGAACTTACAAGGGCTACTGGTCTTAATGTCATAGATAATGCATTAAGATACTTTGTGGTAGCTGACTACTCTTCATAACCTGTTCAGTGCATGTTGTGTATTGAAAGCATTTTATCATCTCTAGGAGGTTCTGTCATGGTTTTCTTGCAGTCTTAAACTCTGAATTAGATTAAGATTAGTAGGGTTAAGATAACACTTGTGACTTTTGCTGTGTTAGTCATATAAAAAAAAATTGAGTTGCAGACCAACTTCAGAAGAAAACAAGGTGTGGAGTTAAAATATTACAAGAATCTAGCATTTTTTTTAAGAGAGAATCTAGTTATCTTATTTACTTTTGGTTTGGGGTTGGCAGGACTAGATGATCTCACAGTCCAAAAGCCTCACTTCAGAGAAAACACTAAATATTCACTAAAGTGTTATACCTTATTCTGTCTCTGCTATACACTAATTGTCCAATATTTTTTCCTTATTGTTGGATACACTGGGATATCTGATTCTTATAGGCTATGCAAATCATCTTTGTTTAACTCTTCGCTAGCAGTTGTAATCACAGCACTACTGCTATATTAGTATTGGAGCTTAAAATTTAACATTTTCGGGCTAAACCTGCTTCTAGTTTCCTGCTCAAACATTCTATTATAGCAAAACTGTCCTATATTTTGGTTTTTGTTTTTTGTTTTGTTTTCTTAACTAACACATAGGGTCCTTATGTCCTTCTGGTTAATCAGTTAATTTCTTAGTCTCATGCCACTGACAGTTCAGATCTGACTTTATACCGTAGAATTAAAACTCACAATTTCGTCAACTCAACACTGCAAACAAGATTTAGTATTAGTGGTTTAGACTTCCTTGGTGCTCCACAAACAGAATACCATTTAGGCAAGTTACATGTCCATTAGATGTCTTCCGTGTAAAATAGCAAATGGTTTTCTACTTGCTAGTTTATGGAAAGGAGGAGGAAACCATGAAATGCACACCAGCTTAATAAATACCTTTGTGTACCTGTTTGCTTATTTGTTCCCTGATCACTAACACATATTAATATCAGAAACCAAAGTCAGGCTTAACTCTGTGCATGAGGAAATCAAGTTATTTGCAGCGTCAGAGTTTGATCCAGAAACAGTGATATAAATAAGGATTTATTTCTTTTAAATTTAGATACAATACATCCAATTCAGTTTTATAGGTAGAATCTTTGATTAAGGGCTCTTAGCTTTGAGGAAAAAATAAAATCCAAAATCTGTGTGTAGAAAACTTGTCAGTAGAATACCACATCTTTTTTTGTCCTGAGGAAAAATGTACGAACAAATAAATATGAGCTGCTTTTTTTTTTTAAAGAACAATGAACAATCAACTGTAGTAGCAAACTAATTAATAAGGAAATATTGTTGGAGCTACACTGTGCATATGCTGACTTGTGGAGATTAACGTTAAGAATACGCAGACACTTCCTAGTTAATTTTGCTATGATATGAATAGTTTGAAAATACTGCAATTTGTTCTCTTCACCCAGTGGCGGGAAGAGGGGTGGGTGAGGTGTTTATATTTCTAGCTTTATGGGAAAGCATATTGTGAGTACAAGTTTTAGGAGAATCATGCATTAACAAACATGGTGGGGTTTAGCACCCTCTTGAGGAGGACTAGAATGAGGAAGAAACATGAGCTGATCAGGAGCTCATTAGGAGATAGGTACAGCCTAGAAGGAGCTACAGTTACTGCTGTCTTGTGGTTCAGACAAATTCTGTTTTTTCAAGTTGATTTCTGTTTCCAAAAGCTGCAGGTCTGTGGTGCCTCTTGTTTTGCTGAACAAACATAGAAATCTTCATCCATGAGATAAATTTTGTAGATTTAAAAAACTTTAACTGTTCAGTTTTGTTAAATTCGCCTTAATAAATGTGGGCTGGAGAGGGGGCGTTGTAAAGACACATGGAGCAATTGAAAAAGTAGAAAACAGTGGAGAAGAAAAGGGTGATTTTCTCTACTTCTCCCCAACATTTCTGACTGGAAAGGGAAAGTGATAATACACTGGCTTACAGGATGTTGGGTTTTTTTGGCTGTTAAAATTTTACTACACAATAGTTTTCATTAGACTAAGATGGGCAATTGAATAGGTGTCTGGCTAGCTTGTCGAGACCCTGATTTTCTAAGTGGCATTGTGAATCACTTCTAGAAATCTTGTGATTTGAGTATATTATACCTTACTACAAGAAGCAGTTTGAAGTCTCATGCTATCCCTGCTAGTGGCGGGGGGGGGAAGGGAGCTTAGGAGACTTGAATTTTAAAAAGAGGCTTAGAATTGAGGTATGTGTAAAGCTACTTTAAAAAAAAAATCAAATTTTATTATTTTTTAACTGCCCGAAGTTGAAATCTTACAGGAATATGATTACTGCACAGGTGTGTATAATCTTTTCTTACTGCTTGCTGCAAGTAACTTAGAAATCAGAAAAATATTTTCCTGTTTTTCAAATATATTTAGCAGAAGATTCTTTCCAAGATTTGTATCCTTCAGTTTCCTGTGTTTATGTGGGGGGAGGAGGAAGGAAATGTAAAAATGCATTTTCAAAACAAGAGCTGACAGGAAGGCATGTGTGTAATTGCAGTGTCTAAAACTTGGGCAGCTCTGTTGTTAAACGCAGTGTTTTAAACTAGTTTCAAAGTGGCATGTGAAACATCCTGATTAATTTGTGAGTACATAAGGTTCCTTGTGTTTGTAGTAAATTTCTGTTACATAGTTTAGGGGATTTTATTTATGGTGATGTTTCTCCTCCTTTTTCTCTTGACTTAGGATATGATCAACTGTATTGGTGGAGTAAATGTGCTGTTTCCATTGCTGGAGCAGATCAGTTTTCTTGGTGGACAGATGCCTGAGAAGTCTGAAGGGGAAAATCTACCTCCAGAACTAGTTACTCCTGTAGAGGGAGACTGGGTGGTATTGTCATCCACAAAGGCATCAGGTAGGAAACTACAGTTGAACTGAAATAATTTTTAAGCTTGATTTTTAAAAGTCTTCCTATGAATGACAGTTTTATTATGTGCTGGCTTTTCCGGAGTACGTATGTAAAGCTGAAAGGCTCTTTCTGTTCCTAGGTATCTGATGTCGATACTGAATACCAGGAGTTCAGCACTACATAAAATTAACTGAGTAACATATTTCAAATATAGCTATATTTAATAGCATTATTTTTCTTTTCATGATTTACTATTACATTAGTGTAAAAGTGTGCAGTTTTTTAATTTCTATTCTGAAAAGTTTGTTCTGATTATTTTGAGAAATTGTTTGATGCGAAGCCTACTAATATCAATAGGAGGAGCTTTCCTACAACTTGAGTGCTGGGTAAGATGACCACACGAAGACTTTGCAGCATCAGAACAGTACTGTTTTGCCTTTAGCCAAACTTTTATTTTCTTAGGAAAATGTTCAGACTCCTTCTTCCACACACAGTCAGATTTTAGTATTAAAATTAAAAAAACAAAGGAAAGGAAGTTTTATGAATAGATTTTTAAAAACTGTGCTAATATTGAGAATGAACTTTGATCTTAACAGAAACCACTGGGAAATCAGACCTTGCAAGGGAAAACAGCATTTTTTTTGTTTCAAATTTGAAATGGTGGAGTAAAGTAAAAAAAAATATCTTTTTCTCTCTGTCTCTTATTTTTTTGCATATCATGGCTAGAAAGTGTCAGTTTGCAACTACATAGGGAGAATAACTGCAGCGTATGTGAAAGATTGTAACTGAAAGAGGAGTTTGTCTGTAACCTACAGCCAGATGCATGAAGCAACTGAAGTCAGGACTGGGGTCACTTTGTTCTGGAGAGGCATGGAATGGCTGTGACTCTGCGCTGGAAAAATCTAAAGACAGCTAGGGAACAAACAGAAAAGGAGTTGAGAAGTTCAGGAAATAGCGAGGAATATGAACACTTGATTTTACTTCTCCCCCTCTACTTTTATGCAGTGGTCCAGCAATAAACCATGAGGCTTTTTCTACTGTTGTTCTGTTTTGCAGAAGCACGCCTGGAGAAGAACATCGTTGCAACTTTCATCTTGATGATAAAACACTTTATTCAGAGACACCATGTTAATCAAGAAAATCTCATTCACTCCCATGGAGTTGCCACCCTAGGAGCCTTGTTACAGAAGGTGAGCAAATTTGAGAAACATCCTTTAGTAATGAATGTTATGGATGAGGTCCCAATTACTTTGAAACATTCTTACTTCGGCCACGATGGGAGGGTCTTCAAAGGTCTCCTTAGTACATGCTTTTCTTTCTCATGTTTCTGAAAACAAAAAGGTGTGAGGAGTTGGTCTTGATCTGCAAAGTGAAACACGGTGTTTTGTCTTTTTTCATGTTCTGCTTTTTTTGTTATAGATACTGTGTTGTATGATTCTTCAAACTAAACTGGTTTTGTGTTTCTCATATTGCTTTAATGGAAACAGACATTGCTGTAGAAGATAAAAGAATCTCAGAATTTGATTTTAAAAAAATGAAGTTTATTAGGATACTCAGTATTTTGAGTGCTAACACCTGTTGTTATTTTGAAAGGTGCCAAGCAACTTAATGGATGTGAATGTACTGATGGCTGTACAGTTGTTGATAGAGCAAGTCTCAGTAGAAAAGAACATGCACCTTTTGCAACAGATGTATCAACACTTACTTTTTGACTTCAGTATCTGGAACAGTGGGGACTTCCCCTTCAGAATCGGTGAGCTCTTGGACTTGGGCAACTGCACAGACACAGAACTATTCACTCAACATCTTTATCTAGGTTCTAATAGAAAACTTTATATTGTAGGGCATATACAATATCTTTCTACAATCATCAAAGACAGCAGAAGGCTCTTCAGAAAGAAATATGGTGTGCAGTTTCTTCTAGACACACTCAGAATTTATTATGGGTATGAGTTTTAGCTCTTCTAACTCCTCCTCGTTTATTGTATGTGGCTGTTTTTTGACCTGCAGCCAACTGCAGGTTGGCTTTTGGTGGCTGATTTAATTTTCAAAATGGCATTAAGTGTGGTTTGGGTTTTTTTTTCCATTTGGCTTGCTGCTTTTCCTTTAATTTTTATGATAGGATTCTATAAAACTTATGTCAATGGTACTAGAAATGCTTGGAGAAGTCATTAAAATTACAAAATTGAAGGACTCGTTATCAACAATGCAAATTAAGTCATAGATCGTTACCATTATGAAAAACTATTTTGTTCTTTTACATCCTTGTAGAATTTGAAGTAGGACTCTCTTAGGAATTTAAGATTTTAGCTTTCAGTCTTGGTGATTTATATCTGCTTATGAATATAGTTATGTCATTGAGGAAGATTGGCTAGAGACCTTGCTCTTTCCTTTAGAGGGTGGGAGGGTGGAACCTGAAATCCTGACCTGTGTCCAGATTAGTACAAGTCTACACTTCAGGGCTTGTATAGACTTGGTAAGTCTGACCTACTAGTGCTTATTACTATTCAGTTGCCTTACTTCAGTAAAAATTGATAGCTTGTGCCATGATATCTGGGTAGATGAAAAATTACAAAACTAGCACAATCAAATTGCTATTAATGAGCCATGAAGAACTTCCTTAAATTGCTTTTCCTGTCTGTTGGTGTACAGGAGTGGCTGTAAAGACAGTGATTTGGCTCCTGATGACCTGAGAACAATACGGACATCCCTCTATGGACTGATCAAATATTTCCTGAGCAAAGGTGGAACACATGAAGAAATACAGAGCATCGTAGGATACATAGCTGCCACCACTGAAGAGGAGCAGGTATCCAATATGGCATAAATTAATAGTTTAAACTATACGTGTTTTGGTTTTGCTTCTTGGTGTTTAGAAATCCTGTGTCTTGTGTGCTTAAAAGAGGGGGGAACAAAAAGGAAAAAGACCACAAGCAAAGTCTTACTTGATGCGTGGTTCTGCTTAGATGTAGCTGAGGCAGGTTATAGAAGCACACTGGAAACTTGACAAATTGCTCTGCAGGTGGCCATATTTTTACTGTGGTTTTTTTTTTTTCCCCTGAAGAGGGCAGAAAGCACATGATTTGTAATACTGCCATTAGAAAAGTTCTCTTAGTTTACAAAACCAAATGAATTGGACTTCAGCTGGTCAGAAGTAGTAATGATGTGGTTTCTATTTTGTAGACATCAACAGAACTTGAACTTGTTTTGTAGCTCTAATTACAGTTTGATAAGGTGTTCTATATATAGAAAAAATGTATCCAAAAAAATCTAATTTTAAATGCACTAATACTGAGCAGACCAAATGTCTATTTTATAACAAGCAAAGGGTAAAATTTAAAAGCCAAGAAAATTTTCCGCAAACAGAGCATGAAGTCTGAATGAACTGTGGGTTAATTTAGTTGTCTTAATTTTGTAGCTCTGTGGAATTCTGGATGTTCTCTTCAGCCTACTTCATTCCAGCCCAAGCCCAGACCAGCTTTTTTTATTGCTTTTTGAACCAGGGAATGCTGATATTCTTTACGCTCTGTTATTGCATCAAAGATACTCTGACAGGCTTAGAGAACTTGTGTTCAAGGTAATGAATTGAATTACATGTTCTTAAATTAATCAATTGAACATAAATTTGTGTTTTTCCATGGTCTGACTGCAGAATTGTATGCAATTGCGAAGATGCTAATCATCCAAGTTTTAATTTTTTCCTCACTTCTGTTATGCTAGCTAGAGGTTATTGTTTACTGCCATAGTCACAATGGAATTAGTGTTCTCTTGAAGTAAAGTATTGGGAACTTTTTTGTATTGGGAACTTTTTTTAAAAAAAAAAAAAAAAAAAAAAAAAAAAAAAAAAAAAAAAAAAAAAAAAAAAAAAAAAAAAAAAAAAAAAAAAAAAAAAAAAAAAAAAAAAAAAAAAAAAAAAAAGAGTCCATGTTGTTTGAGTTAGCTTACAAAGTAAACTTTAAAAACAGTGGATCAGCATGTTGTATCATACAAAATTAAGTTTAAGAGGTCTGGATGCTCCCTTGTGTTTATTTTGCATTTGTGTGTACTTTTTCTTGCAGATTGTGGAAGAGATGCTGAAATGTACTAAAGTTTATGAACGTAGTAAGCATCGTATGAGACTCAGAGAAGTGGGATACTCTGGACTGGGGCTCCTTCTGAATGAATCGCCAGTTACTGTTTCTCTTATTAAAAACCTTCTTAACCAAGTTCTGTATGCAGGTAATTGGCAAGTGTTGTGTATACCGTTAGTAAACTCGTGCTGCTCAGAGGCAAACATACTTGTTTTTTTGTTCAGGAAAACCAGAGCTGTTACCTTACAGAGCTGTTCTATTCGAAGTTCCCATTAGTCTCAGCTAATGTTTTCTTAGTTCCCTGAAGTTTGTTTCCTTTACTACCCCTGGACGTAGAGGTGAACTCCAAGGCAATTTTTAATATTTAGCTGTTATATTCTCTTGCATGAAATTGTGTTTGTTGTTTTTTCTTTCTCCCCTACAGATCCTGCTGTGAATTATAAAGATCTCGTAGCTGTAGTGCATCTGGCTCATAGATCAGATATAAACATGAGAGTTGTTATCTGTAGAAAGGTTAGTTGTTGTCTTTAAAACTGGAATACTGTCCTTTAAGCCCATAAGCTGTACAGTGTGATATCTTAATTATGTATTTGAGACACAGTGGTGGTATTTGTTGCTACTGCTTTCTTTAGTAATTATTTATGTTAAATATTAAGCCCATCTGTCACTTAATGTTGAATTTTGTGTACTCAAGTCCTTTTAAAAACCAAAACAAAAAGCAAAGCCTCTATCATGATTCTCAAATAGCTTGTATTTTCTACAGGTTAGAGATAGCAGACTCCTTAAATTACTGAGTTTTCTCAAAGGATGCTTAAGACCATGATCAAAGTTTTGTTTGTATTCTTTGTATGTTATTTTGCTAGAACATACTATGGTTCAAAAGAGTGGTTGTGCATGCAGGGAAGAGATAGGGAAGACTTTTCCCTATCAGTGACTTTTTCCTAAACTGAGCTCTCTGGCTTATATCACTGGAATTAGTAGTACTGAATGTAGCTGTGAGGCACTATATTGTCTATTAAGGTTTCTCTAAGTGAAAAAAGTGAAACAATAACGTGCATTATCAGTAAGCTATTAATACTGCAGCTTTCTTAATTTTATCTATTTAATAGTTCCTAATCAAGCATATTTTCTGTTCTGGATTTTCTTTTTTTGTAGACTAGTGGCTGAATAGGATTACTTGTTGTGGTAACTGGGTTTTGCGGGAATTGTTGCAGAAGAGTGGCTGAAATATGAGGACTTACCAATATGCTTTGATAGCTTCTTTTCTCCCCTACTCCTGAGTTTTTCTTTTTTTTTCTTTTTTTCTCAAATATATATTTCTAATGAGAAAAAATGATTTTGTGGCTTTTTTTCATTTTTAAAACGGATTGTGGCTCTTTTACAAGGTTCTAAAAAAAAAAAAAAAAAAAAGGCAAAAGATTTGTAAGATCGTAAAATGTCTGATTGAAAAGCTAGAATGAATGCAGTTACAAGCTAAAATTAACATGTAGGTATGGGATATCTTCTCCTATCCTTAGGTTTTCCACCTTTTGCATTCCCAATTGGATGCAGCACAACAGATTTCTCAGCAGCTGGGGTGGCAGGACACTTTGATTAGACTATTCCTGAAAGAAAACTCAGAGGTCCAGATTGGCTTTAAAGAGAACAGGGCTGATTCCTCAAGGGAAGAGGAAAAAAAGCCTCCTGCTGAAGAGCTTCAGAAACATCAACCTGATAAGACAGAGGGAGGCAAAACTGGCAGCTTTGTGTCTGTTAATGGTCTGTTTGATCAGTGGAGTTTAGAAGACAACAAATCCCTGGATGTCCCTGCTCATTTCTCTGTTATGCCACTGGAAGATGCATCCACAGCAGAGATGTCTTTTAGGTCGGAGGACCGAGAAGAATTGTGGCACAGTAATCCTTCACATTTGAGTTTAGATCTCTCCAGTATTGACTCTTATGAATTGGCTGACATTGTGAATCAGATGACAGATAGCCAGCCCAGCACACCGTCACCTATAGAGAACACAAAACCATTCTCTGGGCAGCCTGACAAAGAGCTGGGCGTTATAAATGATGTGGGCTTCGCTGATCTTTCTTTATTTGAAGACCAAGGAGTAAGTAATTCACTCCCTATGTGGTTAATTTCTTCAAATGTCTGCAATTCCTTTTTATTTTTTTAATCATCTCCCTGATGGATAATTATTGTCCTTCCCCGCACCCCCCCTGCTATCTTCCAACAGAAAAGCAAACAATATAGGTCTTTTATAGTGAGTAGGGGTACTTGCTTTTGTAATGTGTCTTCTTTTTTGGTTGTCTAGTTGGAATAGCTTTGATGTTAAAAAAAAAACCAAAACAACCAAAACAGAGGTCCAGATTGGCTTTAAAGAGAACAGGGCTGATTCCTCAAGGGAAGAGGAAAAAAAGCCTCCTGCTGAAGAGCTTCAGAAACATCAACCTGATAAGACAGAGGGAGGCAAAACTGGCAGCTTTGTGTCTGTTAATGGTCTGTTTGATCAGTGGAGTTTAGAAGACAACAAATCCCTGGATGTCCCTGCTCATTTCTCTGTTATGCCACTGGAAGATGCATCCACAGCAGAGATGTCTTTTAGGTCGGAGGACCGAGAAGAATTGTGGCACAGTAATCCTTCACATTTGAGTTTAGATCTCTCCAGTATTGACTCTTATGAATTGGCTGACATTGTGAATCAGATGACAGATAGCCAGCCCAGCACACCGTCACCTATAGAGAACACAAAACCATTCTCTGGGCAGCCTGACAAAGAGCTGGGCGTTATAAATGATGTGGGCTTCGCTGATCTTTCTTTATTTGAAGACCAAGGAGTAAGTAATTCACTCCCTATGTGGTTAATTTCTTCAAATGTCTGCAATTCCTTTTTATTTTTTTAATCATCTCCCTGATGGATAATTATTGTCCTTCCCCGCACCCCCCCTGCTATCTTCCAACAGAAAAGCAAACAATATAGGTCTTTTATAGTGAGTAGGGGTACTTGCTTTTGTAATGTGTCTTCTTTTTTGGTTGTCTAGTTGGAATAGCTTTGATGTTAAAAAAAAAAACAAAACAACCAAAAACAAAAAACAAAACCAAAAAAACCCCAAAGAAAAAACTACAAACTCCCCCCTGCCCTCCCTCTTCTATATTTCAACATCCTTTATCTTCCAGAGGAGGCATGGAGCAGACTTGCTGTGGAAAAAATCAAGGGTAGCTAAAGGTCAGATTGAAATAATGATGTGGAAGTCAAGTCAGTATGTATTACAACATACAAGCAAGCCACAGTCTCTTATATTTGCATTTTCATGTGTTTAGCAATTGGACTTTAGACTGCAGAGTTTTCAAAAATGCTGACATACACAAGCATAGGGACTGTAATGAACAAGAAACATTTTAAAGTTTTTCTAGGCTAGAAGGGCTGTAAATATTTCTCTTCTTTTGTAGGGGGGTGATAATGAACTCATACAGTTACTTACAGACATCCTACTGTGTATAATGTGGAAAGGCATTGAAAAATCTGATGATGCTGCTTGGATTGAGAGAGGACAGGTGTTTTCTGCACTGACTAAACTGGGGATATCTAATGAGTTGCTGCGACCTTCTGATGAAATAAAACTCAAGTGAGTGTACAGTTCAAGGATGGGTTCTTTCATCCCTTTTGAGGAAAAACAGAAAAAGTAAGGGGCATTAGTGAAGCTGGGAAGGGGTGGGTGTTTCCCAACAAGACGTACTTTTTTTTGCTCTCTCTTCATATGCTGTCAGAAGTATATTCCGCTACCTATTTAGTAGTGTCATGTGGCTATAAGGTTTTGAAACTGTATCAGTGGTTTCATGAGCTTCTCAAAATCTCTTTTACCTCATTGGCTTATCAAGAAGAGGGCAGTTATGTCACTGAGACTAAGAGGATTCAATTAAATACTTAACTGGATTTTTTTAAAGCCACTTAAACTTAGAACATGTAATAATTACTTTGGGATTTTGTTTTCCACGCAGCTTGCTGGAGAAGATGTTAGAATGGTCAGTCACTGACAACAGAGATTCAAAAGCTCTCCCTACACATGCTGAAAATGCCTTCAAGCTCTTGTTAATTGTACAAGATTTCCTGCAGGCAGAAGGACTAGTTAATTCAAATTTATGGACAGAAAAGGTACAGTAACTGCATAATGGAAGTACTGTATATAGGCTGAAATAGTAATGAAAAAGTTGTCAGCTTGTATACTGTCATCCCTTCTAGGCATGTTTTTAAACTGTAGATATTACAGAGTAAGGGTTCATAGTGGAATGGATTAGATTGCCACTTAATGAGTAAAAAAAGTGTGAATACTTACTACAGGGAATATAGTTAATTTTGCAAATTAAATAGGCCTGTAAGTGGTACTCTTTATTGAAAATCCAGGTCTCATCAGACTGGAGAAATATTTAGAAAATGTAGGAGCTAATGAAACAATGTCAGTTGTAGCCTAAGCAGATTTTGCACTGTTTATCAGCATGTATGACTCATTGTGTGTGTCCTGAATAAAAGACCAGCCAAAACTCTGCTCTCAGTTGCAAGCTGAGAAATGTCACTTCTGGGCTTTGACCCATATTGGAGTTTCAATATGATTTTGTGCATATATATGTAAATAGCTCAATTTTATATATCAGAGTCAGAAATGTGAGGTCTGAGGAAGAAAATTACTAGGAAACACAGTAAGTAGTAAGGTGAAGAAGCTTTCTGTCATCTGGCTGTTTCTCCTGCCTTCTTGACATATATGTTGTAGACACCCATCATTTACCTCAACGTTTATGTAATTTCTGGCAGTGGTCTTGCTTCCTTCACTGTCTGAGTTGCCATTGCTTTTCCATTTTTCAAGGCTAAAGGGGAGAGGTATTATATGGAAACCATCATTATATCATAATAAATACTTAAAAATCAGATTTTTTTAAGGCTACTTTTTTTTGGAAAAAAAAAAAGTGTAATGTTAAGAGTCGTCAACCCAGTAATTCCTAAGCTGTTCTCCAAAATGCCTGGTTATAAGTAAACATAGCTTAATCTTAAAGCTTTTAATTGTTTGTTTTTAAAAAGTCTCCTCTTGATAAAAGCTTTGCCTTCTGTTGTGATCTAGCTTTGTGAAATCTAATTAGAAATGACATCTGAACTTTGGAGCAATGAGAGTTGTGCTTATTGCCAACTCTGAATTGCAAATAACAGTACTTTCATAAATTATTTTCCACTGTGCCTGGGGAGAATTTAAAGCACCGCAATATTCTAAGCAGGACAGCTTTCAGTCTGCCACAGAAGCATTCATGTGATTCTGGGGCTTAACAAAAGAATGATTTTACATTTGAGTAATTTATTAGGGAATGTATCAAGGTCTATTAGTTTTAAGCAAACACTTCTGGATAGTGAAATATGCCATTTGTCTTGTGAATACCTACCTCTCACAAGGTATCACTTCTAGTATCGAAATACTGACAGAAAGGAGTGGCTCCTAATTTTTTTATTTTTTATTTTTTAAAGGACATTAATAATTGTTATGAAGTTTCAAGCATTTCACTAAATCAGATATTCATGAAAGACGCTTTGTTTTCCTTCTCAGGGCACTGTGCATATTGCTATTGCTGGTAAATTATACTAGCATTACACTCAAATAATTTAAAATATAAAGCAAAAGAATGAAATAAAATCCTATATATACTGAACCCAGAAATTGCAAGTTGGTATGGTATCTGTGCTATTAATTACAGTGTCTTTTCAATCATAGTAATCCTGCTCATGGAGTCTCTAACTGTTCTAAGGAAATAGCATTTACTGGAGTTAAATTATAGGAAAAACATAAGCATATATACTCTATGCTGGTTTTGGCTTTATGCAGGGGAGATACTTAACATACTGGGCTAGATAGATTTTTATAGTCAGGAATTGTTTCAAATTACTGGTTTAACTGCAGTGTTCTGGGATAATTTTCTGGGTTTGGGTAAGTTAGAAATGTGAACGCAGCCTCTTGTTCAGCTCTTTGAAATTACTGTCTCCAGCTGGAGTAGCTGTTGTTAATTTTATTTCATGCAAATCTTCTGTTTTTACAATAGCTCTTGGAAGAACTAGTGACTCTCATGGATAGCCTGTCAGTCTGGTACTCTGCTGGCCTAGAAGCAATGAGACTTTCACAGGTGCAAGTCCAGTTGCTCCTTGGATTCATTGCACAAGATAACTTACAGGTTTGTTGCAAATTCCTGCAAGTGGTACTGTGTTTTAAGTGCATGTTTGATGTAACTTTTGTGGTTTATGGGGGAGCTGCTCATACCAGTGAGCAGACTGATGGTAGTCCTTCATCCTTCTATAGGGAAGATGTTTTATTGGTTCTTACCATTTGCAAATTTACTCTACAGTCCTGTCATCGTGCACCTCCTGAGCATGAGAAAGAGGTAGAGGGCAAGCTGTTTGAAGGTGGGACTCTGTAGGCATTAGTAGCAGTAAGATAGTGATTCTGATCGTGACTTCTTGTTTCTACAGTAAAATACATTTATTAGCGGTTTCAGGTTTACTTACGTTAAGTGCACATGAACCTGGACTGTTCTGCTAAATCAACATTTGGAACAAAGTTAGCAGAGCTATGCCTGGAATATGAGCCTTTCAGTAAAGCCAGGATTGTTAGTTTAGGTATGTGATTGTCTTAATTCAGCTGTGTGACTTCGGGTTGCAGCTGACTCAGGTTTAGACATCACAGGATGAATAAGTGATCAGTGCCCCTATTTGATGCATGTGTGCATTCAGGCTACCTGGGATGCAGCTAGAATTTGTATGTATTCCTGTGCTAAAAGATAGGTGCTCAAAATTACTATTTTGAGGATTGCATTCATTTTTTGTTGTTTGTCTGTGTAGGTCTGTGCTATGGCAGCAGCCAAACTAAACACCCTCCTTCAGACCAAAGTAATTGAGAGCCAGCCTGAAGCATGCTACCTCTTGGGGAAACTGGAAGGCATCCTGAGTAGATCAATTGAAGAGAAGACAGAAACTTACTCATTTTTGATTCCCCTTGTTCGGACATTGGTATCTAAGATTTATGAACTTCTCTTCATGAACCTGCATCTCCCTTCATTGCCTCCTACCAATGGCAGCCCATCTTTCTTTGAGGACTTTCAAGAATACTGTAGCTCTGATGAGTGGCAAGTTTATATTGACAAATATGTAAGTAGTAGATTTTTGTATCGTTTTCCCCCCTCTTTTTAACCATGAAAGCAGAGGAACTCATTCAGAAATCACGTTGTGCGTTTTGTTTTGGTGGAACCAGATTATTCCAAATATGAAGCAGTATGAAGAGAATTCATTCAGACGTGATCAGGAGCAGATGGCACTTTATTGGAAAGATTGTTATGAAGCATTTATGGTGAACATGCACAAGCGAGACCGGGAGAGAGGAGAAAGTAAGCTTAAATTTGAGGTAAGGTTTTGAGTGAGTGCAAGTTTCTCTTAAAAGAACTATCTCAGGAGTTGCCTTCTAAAAGGTGGAGAAACTGAATTCCAGGATGATCCAATTCAAGTGATTGCAGGCAGGTTGATTGCTTTAAGATTTTATGGGCAGTGTGACTATATACACTTGTAGGATATGCTTTTTAATTCTGTTCTTTCTATTTAAGAGTCTTACCTGTAAGCAGAGTTATTTCAGGACAGTAGGCCTTTCTCATAGTACAGCAACCTAGAATTATGCTCAGCTATAAGCTGCATCTTCTTTTACTCTGATTTATGTTTTGAATTATTAAAACCTCTTCTCCATTATGAGATGAGTCAGTGTGAATTTTTTTTTAACCCTACTTCAATAGAATGAAAACACTTAAAACAGTGAACAGTTCCTATTTCATGTGTGGGGAAAAATTGTTTCTGAACTGATCTCTCTGTATAAGGTCTAGACCCAGTTTAAGCGTTAGAATTAACTGGTAACTACAGCAAATATCATAGCTAAGTTACATTTCTCTTGTTTTCCCTTTGCCTTCTTAATAAGGATCCTTGTAGTATGTCTTTTTTTATTCAAGTAGCTAAAGGAAGAATACAGTATGAATCACATTTTAGAATTTAAAATAAAATCCTACCTGTTATAATAGGATTTCCAATACTGACCACTTTTCTGATGATGAAAAATTGCTTTCATGTGGATTCAGCATTGATAATGCTTTCTTCATATCTTTAAGTCTAACTTTGGTGCCATTTCTCCCAGTACTAAGCTTTTTAAAATTTCTCTTGTAAGCGTTACCTTAAATTCTCAGACGTTTTAACTGCTAAACTTTTTTTGTTCCTTCTTCATTTATGAGAATTCTTGCAAGCCACAAAACTGTGTTTTCAAAGATCAGAGTTATTTCAGTTCTAGATTTATTTTTAATGGTCTTTCAGGAGCATTTTGTGGAACCATTCAGCAGAAAGGCTCGACAGGAAAATCTGCGGTACAACAGTATGCTAAAGCAACTTAATAGTCAACACACAGCTACTCTGAGACAGTGGAGAGCAGCCCAGCTTTACTTGCTCTCTGAACGTGGTCCTTGGTCTGAAATGTAAGAGTGACGTTCTTAAATCAAACCGTGTATGAAGCTTAAAAGGAATTTGCTCACATGGCTAACTTACTGTTTCACATGGTTAGAACCTTGTCAAATTGACTCTGATAACCATTATTGAGATGTGAAGTAAATATTGAATGCATCTTTAATAATGTTTTCTGCATTTAACTATCAAAATGCCAAGTTTGAAGTGTAATGCTGAGCTGGTTACCTGGATACTAGATTTTCTTGCCAAGTGGCAAATAAAAATTAGTTATCAATGAAGCAATTGCAAAAACTTTTTGAGAGATCCTACGGGTTGGTGGTTCTGTTGGAAAAGAGAGAATAGACTTGTTAATAAAGACTTTGAGTTTTTATGCATGAAGCTAATTTCAATTTAAAAGAATACATTTTGCCTGCCTTAGCTTTTGGGGAAGTTCTGGATAAAGATTTTCTTTTTTAGTCTTTTAATTGTCATTAACTGAAAGTGTAAACAACGATGTATTTCAGTAGAAAATAAATACTGTTTACGAAGTGCTTCAGGATGATCAGAGCTGCAGTATGAAATATAAAATTAAAATGCAGTTTATTGCTTTTATGTTTTACAACGTACAAGTGGATGACCAGTATTTTTTCTAAATATGTACTCTTTTGTAATCAGTTCATTCCCATAGGTCTTTACCTTCTTTTAGTTGTTTTTATGAATATTCTTGTTTTCCTAGGAAACAGCATTGTATTTACTGGAAACTTTCAAATGTGGAAAATTTTTCACGTATGAGACTAAAACTAGTGCAGAATTACAACTTCAGCTCTCATCAGGATGCTAGTGACCTGAGAGATAATTTAGGTAAAGTTGTATTGTATTTGCTATTTCACTTGATTCTTCAGTCTTTACTGAAGAAAGATACACACTTTACTCTTTGTGTTTAAGAATCAGCGTATGGTAGATACTTAAATCTTGATTTTTCTTTATTTCCTCTATAGTAAAATGTGTAACATAAGAGTGGTGCTTTGACCTGAAACAGCATCTTCCTGCTGAGTAGAATTCATTTCCACTTGTTCACTGAAATGCATATTTTTGTTGCCCCCACAAAAAAGTTAAAGAACTCCTTTGTTTTAAAATAAGCAGTCACATAGCTTTCTTGCATAAGATTATTTTTTCGAGAAAAGGAAACAATGAGATCAGAGTAAGCAGGCAGTATTTGTTTAAAACCTTTTAGAGCTTATGATTAAAATGTGTAGATATGAAGCGCTTTGTTTTAGAAGTGTGCCAAACAGCTGAGTTAGTGGTGTAAACTGTTCTTTAAGTTAGGTTTATTGGGTATCAACTCAAACAAAAAAAATAACACTCTTGTAAACCCAATTAAGCAAAAAAGAAATGCAGTGTGTTTCCATGAAATCTGCATGCTTTAACAGTGTCTGGCAGAACACTGCAAAATATTTTATTGGAAATGTCCACATCAGAATTCAGTTTAAAATTTTCTAATGTGTTTATGTCTTTGCCTTTATACTGTTACGATTTGACATATATTTCAGCATAGTTCAGGCAGTGTTTTTAGTGTTCTGCTTGCCCCCAAAAGTATTTAAGAAGTCTGGTTGCTTCTTACTCAGTTAAAACCAATGTTCAACAGTAGAAGATACACTCAGTAGTTTAGCTTTCCAAAAGTGTTGTAGCAAAAAATTTTCTGAGCTGAAATGTCTATTTATGATAGGTGTGCACCAGACACAGCCCTCTAGTGAGTCTCTGCTTCTGGAGGTGGTGAAGCAGGTGAAAGTGAGTGACTTGGAAGATGATGTTCTTGAACTACCAGAAGAAGACACAGCAGCTAGTTCCAATTTGTAAGTACAGCAGAATAGAACAGTTGAAATTTGTTTCTGTGCTAGGGATAAGGAGTGAGAAACAACTTCGGGAGTTGATTAGCATACAAAGCTTCCCTCTTTCTTCGTCTGGCCTTAACAGTCCAGTCCAGGACTTTGTAGTAGTTTTGAACAGCAGAAAAGTTGCTGTTGGATATATCATTGTCAACAATGAGACATAAAGAGCCCCAGGGAAAAGAAGCCAGAGCAGATGTTTGTGAGGATCCGTTAGTGATTCACTGCTCACAGTTAGTCTGAAGCTACAGAATTGTTGAGGCTTTTCTACTATGTACATTGGCTATAATGCTCAAGAGGCGGTCTGCCCTATAAGGGCATAGACCAGACTGGAACTGGCTCTTGGCCATAGGTGCCAGGGCCATTCCCTATACCATCAGCTGCATAGCATGAATATTTGCTTGGTTGCCATTAATCTGCTAGAGAGTCTGTATTCAGATTTGATTCTTTTCTGAACTGTACTCTTACCAAGTACCGAAGCAACTGTGTAATCTACCCAACCCAGTAACAGTGGTATTTTTGTAGGGATGAGAAGGACGAGCAAAGTCAGAAAGAAAAGCTAATATTGTCTGAAGACTGTGAACTCATTACAGTAATTGATGTGATACCTGGCAGGCTGGAGATCACTACCCAGCACATCTATTTCTTCGATGGTAGCATTGAAAAAGAGGAAGGTGAGCATGATCAGTATCTCTTTCTTTTCAGTGCAGTTCAACATTCTGGTTTTAGTAGGCTGAGTTTAATTTTTTTGAGAATGAGTGTCAAACTAATTGTGAAGAGGCAAGTTGTGGATCTGTACTTAAAATTAATATTGTACTTGGTGGCCAGTGGCTGGCTGATCCCTTCAGAATCAAGAATCTGGAACCGTACTTGCTGAGCTCTTAAATTGATTCATTAGTCTTAGTATTTCTTAAAAAAATTAACTTAACTAAAAAAAAAAAAAAATTAAGTTTGCTGACTAAAAAAATGTCATTACCTCTAATTTGCTGCTTAAATGGCACCTCCCTGTTCTCCCTGACAAATGATGTTTCACTCAAACATTGATTAAAAACTAGTAGTAAGTAATGATTAAAAAGTAGTAGTAGTAAACGTTAATCATCTATATTACTTCAGTGAACTTTAATAGAATATACACAGTTGAGTATGAAAACAGTGAACTGAAATGTTTGACCAATAATGGTAAAATTTTCAAAAACAGTATATCAAGAAGTTGGCCTTTTGGGAATTCTAAACATAAAAGTTTCTATTTGAGCCTGTTTAAGAAAGCAAAGGGGTTTGGTTCATATTTTTTTTCAGCAGAATACATTTAGAATGTATTTTTGATCAGAAAGCAAAAACAAATTCTGCACTCCATCAGATATTTCCTGCTGCCTCTTTCTTTCAGCAGAACAATAGCTGAAGTTAATAATATTTTCCTAGCAAAATGGTTAATCAAGCCACATAAATTTTGCCTTTTCTAGGAATAACTCTGGGGTGATTGGGAATGATACTGCATTATGTCTGTATGAAAAGTTTTTGATATTTTCCAAATCAGTAATCAAAGTGCTCTTCCTAGGGGTAGGTTTTGATTTCAAATGGCACCTTTCTCAAATTCGAGAGATACATTTGCGTCGGTACAACCTGAGGAGGTCAGCTTTGGAGATCTTCCTTACAGATCAAACCAACTATTTCCTCAACTTCAGTAAGGAGGTAAGGGTTTCCCAAATTTCCTTCATTTATATAATTAGCACAAGTGTCAAGTTTAAGTTCACTGATTGTGTCTAATTAGAGTCTGGTGTCTTTCATAATACTGCAACACTAGTAGCAAAAGGTTTGCTAGATATAGCTATTATGGGAAACTAGACTGCAGTCTGTGAAAACCTGAGTCTTGCATCTAGAAACTGATTAATTGTGAAAAGATGGATAAAACAAGATGACTCTTTCCTCTCTCCTTCCCTCCCTCCTTCTCTCTCTCTGTTATGATACAGAACAATTATTCAACTAAAATTACATCGGTAGTGATCTAAATATCTTGAAGCCCACACATCTTTTTAAATATTCCAAGCAAATTAATTACAAAGCA